CTTAGTACTTGTGTTAAATATGTCTTCTATGTATGTGTGTCTTCTGTGCTATGTTCAATGTTTTTGAATCGTACAAAGGCACCAAAAAAGGTGGCCTGGCTCATTACGTCATTTTGTCCACAATTTCTTATGTTTCTATATACATTTCTACATAAATATATATGCGGGAGATAATGTCGGCGTTTGGATACGAGTAGACGCGCATTTAGGATAAAACTGGGTTCCACACTTACACTAAATGTCACCTTGTATTTTTGTTTTCTCTTTCTATGTTTGTACTATGTGCTATGTTTTATAAATATCGACACACACACCCACACATATGCTTGCACACACATACATACATATGAATACAGGGCTGGGATGAGATCAGCAAGGATGTGAACGAGAAGATCTGGAACGAGAAGAAGGAACAATACACCGGCCGCCAAAAATGTATGTAAATACGAGTATAAGTGCCACAACCGCAAACTACAAACCGCTTGGCAGAAGACACCAAGTGACAACATTCGAAGGAGAAACAAAGAGAAACAGAAACCATTTTGTCTATTGTCGTGCTATGCTTTCTATGTTTTCTTTGTTCTCTATGTTCTCTGCATTCTTGTGATTTTTGCCGGACACATGCCGATCGACACTTGTTAATGGCTTTAATTCTGTACTTTCCACAGCCAAACTGCCAAAATGGTTCGGCGAGCGACCAGGCAAGAAGGCCGGTGAGCCCGAAACACCTGAAGGCGAGGAAGATGCCAAGGCCGATGAGGACATCGTCGAGGACGAAGACGAAGTTGAGGAGGAGGTCGTTGAGGAGGAGGATGAGGAGGCTGAGGAAGATGAAGAGGAGGAGGAAGAAGAAGAGGAGGAAGAAGAGGAAGAGGAAGAGGAAGAAGAGGAGGAGGAAGAGGAAGAAGAGGAGGAAGAAGAATAAATAAATAAATTTTTTCGTAAAAATTACATTTAAACAAAATTAATCAAGAAAATCAAAGCCAAAAATTTTAATAAAATTAAAAGAATGAACTAAATAGTTATTATGAGCTTATTCAAAATATGAATGAAAAAGCAAACAAGAAGAAACACACTTTTTTATTAAACAAAATATATAGTTCTTCCAAATAAAATATCAACAACACCAAAACAAAATCAACTAGAAATTAAAGTGTTGCTTATAACGCCATCATATTTACAGTTTTTTTTTGCTGCTGTCTCGCGTGACTGAGAAACGATGTAGATTGCCCATCAAAATTTGCAGAGACTATGTCTTCACTGCCGTTTATCATCAGCAAAGTAACAAAAAAAAGTCTGTTGTCGGGCTTTGCTGTGCTTGTTTTCTTTGTTCTCCATGTTCTTATGATTTTTGCAGGATAGATGTCAATTAACACTACAAGTAGTTAATGGCCTTAATTCTATACTTTCTACAGCCAAACTGCAAACAACAATGGTTTGGCGAGTGACCTGAAGGCGAGGAAGTTGAGGACGAGGTCGTTGAGGAGGAGGATGTGGAGGCTGAGGAATATGAAGACGAAGAGCAACAGTATTAAGAGGGAGAAGAGGAAGAAGAATAAATAGTTAAATGTTGTCGTAAAAATTACCTTTAAACAAAATTAAAAGAATGGAATAAATACTTGTAGTTACATATTATGATCTTATTCAAAATATGAGCGAACAAGCAAACACACTTTTTCTTATGAAACAGGAGAAAATATCAACAACACCAAAACAAACTCATCTAGAAATTAAAATGTTGATTATAACGTCAACTTGCAGAGACTCTGTCTTCACTGCCGTTTACCATCAGCAATGTCACAGTAAAATTTCTGTTCAATAACATTAGAAATCGACAACTAACGAATTTATAGAAACTCCATTACTTATCTGAAGTAGGAGCTTCCTACAGCATTCCCCTTTGATAAATTTGCTCGATGCGAATACTACTTTATAATTGATTTGCCTGACTACTGTCAGGTCACAACTACAAGTACGAAAGGTTGGTATTGCAAACAAATTATGGCCGAGGCCTTCTTCCCCTCTAATATTGTAGGTGGTATAACAATATTTTCTTAAAATTTCTTACCCCTTAAGTATATTATTGTATAATATATTTAACTTAAATAAAACAAGTAAAAAAGCTAAAGTCGGGTGTCCCGACTTTGAAATACTCTGTACATATGTTTACAATAATTATAGAAAATAAAAAAAATTAAGAAAATAAAAAAAAAAATTTGATCGATTTTACCTCTCTCGGTATTCGAACTCACGTAAAGGGTGTATAATTGCACATTTACATAGCAATTGCGTCTGTGTGAGTGTATGTATGCCTATGCGCATCAATTCGTGTCTGTGTAAGCATTTTCGCAGTCAACCAAACAGCAACATCAACAACAGCCGCGGGCAGCGCTTGAGCAGCGCTGCAGCAGCGCTGCATCAGCAAATTTATTTATGGCTATAACTTCTTGTTAAATCGGTCTATCATAATGAAATTTGGCATACGGACACATAATAACTAACTGGGGGTATTTCCAAAATTTTAGTTCGAAATTCCAAGAATTACGGGAGTTACGATTTGCGGGGTAGAGGGGGGAGGGAGGGGAATTCCAAAATATACATTTTCTGCGTATTCACATAAGGCATCTGGGACTAAAATTTGGTGTTCCTAGGTCTTATAGTCTCCGAGATATAGGCGATTATACGAATGGAAAATCGGGAAAACCCCCATAGGGGGGAAGTGGGGGGGAAAATCAAAAAAATAAAACAAACTCGTATAGAATACACACATAACGCATCTTCGTGCAAAATTTGGTGTCTCTATCTCTTATAGTCTCTGAGATCCAGGTGTTCATACGGACGGACAGACGGACAGACGGACAGACAGACAGACAGGGCTAGATCGACTCGTCTCGTCATGCTGATCAAGAATATATATACTTTGTGGGGTCTGCCACGCCTCCTTCTGCCTGTTACATTTTTCAGCTCCCGCAAACCTAATATACTCTTGTACATTTCATGTACAGAGTATAAAAATATATGCGCCGAAATCTGTTCTTACACTGTTTTGATTTAATATGGTTTGAAAATTCAAAATTTTATATATGGTTGCACGGCTTTAATCCGACTTTATTGAATTGTACTAAAGATTCAAAATAACATATGGTCGATGTCTTTTTATACTCTGTACATGAAATGTACAGAAGTATATTAGGTTTGCGGGAGCTGAAAAATGTAACAGGCAGAAGGAGGCGTGGCAGCCCTGTCTGTCCGTCTGTCTGTCCGTCCGTATGAACATCTGGATCTCAGAGACTATAAGAGCTAGAGACACAAAAGATGCCTCATGTGTGTACGCTATACGAGTTTGTTTTATATTTTGATTTTGCCCCACACTTCCCCCCTATGGGGATTTTTCCGTAACGCCGTTCGTATAATCGTCTATATCTCGAAAACTATAAGACCTAGGGTGCCAAGATGCCTTATGTGAATACGCAGAAAATGTGTTTTTTGGATTTCCCTCCCTCCCCCCTCTCCCCGCAAATCACGATTTTCTCTAACTCCCGTAATTCTTGGAATTTCGAACTAAAATTTTGCAAATACCCCCAGTTAGTTATTATGTGTCCGTATTATGATAAACCGATTTAACAAGAAGGTAAAGCCATAAATATATTTGCTGCTCCAGCGCTGCTCAAGCGCTGCCCAACCGCTGCCCGCGGCTGTTGTTGATGCTGGTGCTTTGGTTGACTGCGAACATGCTTGCACGCGCATAGACATACACACATACACTCACACAGACGCAATTGCTATGTAAATGTGCAATTATACCCCCTTTACGTGAGTTCGAATACCGAAAGAGGTAAAATCGATCAAATTTTTTTTTTTAATTTTCTTAATTTTTTTAATTTCTAGAATTATTCTAAACATATGTACAGAGTATTTCGAAGTTGGGACACCCGACTGTAGCTTTTTTACTTGTTTTTACTCTGTACATGAAATGTACAAGGTTTTCGGGATATAAAAAATGTAAGAGGCAGAAGGAGGCGTGGCATAACCCACAAAGTATATATATTCTTGATCAGCATGACAATACGAGTCGATCTAGCCCTGTCTGTCTGTCAGTCTGTCCCTCTGTCCTTTTGTGCGCCTGTCCGTCCGTCCGTGTGAACACCTGGATCTCAGAGACCAAGGGCGTAGGCAGGGGGGGGGGGGGGCGTTGCCCCCCCTAGAAAAAATTTTGCCATATAAAGTCGACCACACGTTCAATATTATAACGCAAGTTTTCGCCTTAAAATGGATCTGAGTTGGATTTGTTGAAGTTTTTTCATTGATCATATGCATAAGTTATTTTTGAAATGCATCGTGCATTATTTAATCAACATTTAAATTTTTTAACTTTACTTTTGTTTCAAATTTCATCTAAGTCAGTTAATTAATTAATTTTTTATAACACTACCTTTTTAGGAACCAATCCACCGTGTAAAAACATATGTACATCCGTACATTGTACTTCAAGTACGATGGTTTTCAGAGACATCAGGGATTTCCTGCGGGGGTTCGCTGTGTTGTTAGGCTGGGAAAAGAACCTATGTATTTTAATTTTTCCCTTTTTACCCTACAGGGTATAAAAACGGCGAGAGAAATGTATCTACATATTTCCCTCCGTACATCTGCCTGGACGAAACTAGTCAAGAATATGGAATATCAATTACCAATTGAAGAAATCCCAAAAAGGCAGTCCAAGAATCGAGGACAGGTCTCAGACATATGGGACCTCAAAAAGTATTAAGTAGTTATTGTTTCTTCAGACATGTAAGGCTTATTAGATATTCCTTTCAATATAAATGTTGACGCGAGAAGTAAGGGGTTAAGTAGGTCAGGCTTCGAAATCCACCACAGCCGAAGCTGTCTCGCATGCGTCCGCCTTGAGCTGCGTTCGCACTCTCCCTAGCGCCTTGCAGTTAGTTCGTTTCCTACCTGCAGCGCAAGCTGTAGCTTTTTTTTTTTGACATCATACGTCACAAACCACATTGAACCACACATTATACACTATACCTACTTAAGCCACATCATATCATCATCAACACAACAAATAAACATCCATCATCAACAACACGACATCAGTCGACTTCTAATCTAATAGGGAAAGAGGCCAGCAACTATAGCTCCACATTACATGGTCCTGCGAGCCGGGTACCCTATAATCGTCTCGCTCCAGCTAGCTTTGTGGGAAACTGGATTGGATTGATAAGTACTCCAAACTGCAATACCAATTAGATATATCCAAATTTGTTGCTCTGACGCACTCCGAAAAGTGCGTTCCGAAACATAAACGTTTTGCAAGTGCAAGTGCAAGAGTGAAAAGATAAAATTGCAGTGACTTACATGTAGCTTATTCTCTACACATATGTATATAAATATATATACATACATATATGCGTATAGGTATATGTATATAAGTCGCCATCTTATTTTTTCCTTTCCTTCGAGAGGAGCGCAGACTGCAGTTTCAAGCGCGAAGTTCCAATTTCCAAATCGAGCCAGGCCGTGTATAAGCTCAAACGTGTGTGAGTGCAAAGACTTGGTTTGTTGGCTCACGATTATTAAGCTTTTATAAACGCTTCAGTTCGAAAATAAATCTTTGCTTTAAAGCTTTCACATACACGACGCGCATTTGGTCTTACTTCTCTCAGCTTTCCGAAGCCGCTGCACTAAAATTGCATTCTTATATACATACATACATATGTATGTATGTACGTACATACATACTACATAGCCCAAATAAAGAAACCAAAACGTTAGTTATATTTCCTCGCCTCCCCCGTCCCTAAAAGCCGTGCTCTTCAGCTGTCTGCTAATATTTCCGACGCTTGAATAAGCCATAAGCCAGCGACGCGGCTCAGCAGCGTTTCTTATCGCTTCCGCTCTGTTCCCGTTTTTTTGCGCTTGCTCTTTGTGTAAGCAGTCCCTGCAGCAAGCCAACGCACACACACACACACATATGTACATACATAAACGCATCGTAGTACGGTACTTGCTGCGCGTTTGGGGGAGGAGCCAAGAACAGCTGTGCGTTGAAATACCCTTTCGCAACGCGAGCATGTACGTTTCCTGAGGTGATTGCTGTCTACATATTTATCTTACAAATAATTATTTATTATTTAATGCCAATCATCTGGCACACTTATCTACAAGAATAGTGTGCCGATTTCAGCGTCCCTCCTGTCGATTTCCATCCATTCCAATACAATCAAATAAAAAGGACAAACCTCCGGTTGTGTGGTTTGAAATCAACGACTGTTTGGACACAACGCAAAGCCAATATCTGATATACAAGAATAGTAGAATAAAAACTACTCCGAATACTCAGGTTTTCCAAAAACATCCAATGGCGTTAAACGAATTCAATTCGGCTACCGATAACCTTAGCCAATTCGAGACGCGAATTACTTCGTCGTGCGCCTCAGATGCGTCGCTTGTCTTGCTCAAAGCCCAACTAGACGAAGTCCGAATCCTGTGGGATAAAATCGCTCAAGAGAGTCACCGCTGTAAGCGGGCTCTGAAGCAATCGGAGTCGAGCGCCCTCGGCATACAAGCGGTGCAGGCGAAATATGAATACTGCTATTTAGTCTATGAGCGGTGTGCCACTATGCTCACTGAGCAGATTGAGAAGGCGTCCGTTCCTAGTACTGCTCCAGCACCCGCCTTCCAGTCCAGGGTCTGCAGCCTCCCATCAGTCGAGACAAAGGGTCTTGATAAGAGACGATTGGTCAATAGCCAACTCAAGATTTTGTCCAATCTCTCCCCCTTAGCTCAAGAGTCGGTATCTGCCTTAAAGGAACTTCAAAGCACAATCCAGGGATGCTTAACGACTCTTGAGCATTGCAGTATTAGCACAGAGAACTGGGACTGCCTGCTGGTCTTCTTGTGTTCCTCAAAGTTGCCCAGACTGACGCTCTCGCTATGGGAGCACTCTCTACAGAGCAAGACTGATATTCCAACTTGGCGTGAGATGAACACATTCCTGATACATCGCTACCAAACTCTAGAGGCAATTGAGTTTTTTCAACCATCACACGAAGCTAAGGTCGGCATAAAGGCTCAGACGTGCAAGCTATGCTCAAAGGAAACTCATCCTATCCGATTCTGTCCTCGTTTCCTCCAAAAGTCCGTCAACGAGAGGGCAGCCGTCATTAAACAGCAAAAACTCTGCTTTAACTGCTTTGCCAGAGGGCATCAGTGGAAAAATTGCAAAAGTGTCCATAACTGTTTAACGTGTAAAAAGCGCCACAATACACTTCTGCATCGTGGTGCTCCTCCATCAGGATCCCAGCTACAAGCATAGCTACGCATGCTGTAGCTGCTACATTGAATCGAATCCATCCACTTCTCAACGATCCCAGCAACACTTGCATCCACGCCCGCTACGGCTGCTACTACTCCGACTTCGATTCATACAGTTCACAACGCTAAATCCACAATCCAGTGTGAATAATTACTTTCGCCATTTCCGCCAGATTCCGTACGTTCCGCTCGCCCCGGAGTCCATTCAAAAGTCCACAGTCGCAGCTACCACCCACATTTTTGCATCAGCGCGTTCCTGCGCTCTCCAGCCTGTCAAATAGCTCTCCACCTGGACGACCATGCTCACCGATGTCAGGGAGATCTTCACGGATGTCCCTCTTTGGTGCACCCTCCACACCATCTGCAATGCACTCGCGTGTGAGTCACCAAAAGCAATCACCTGACTTCCGCCACAAAAAGGGCGAGAAGAAGGCACAGAAGACGCCCTCCAAGCCGCCTACTCCTGAAACGGAAAGTGTCTCAAGGTCCAAAGGATCACAACCGTCCAGTAGCCCTATCTTTAAGATCAATCGCGGCTGTAAGCAACGTCGGCATCATGGAGCAGTTTATCTTCTTGGCACAACGCAAACGCTGTAATACTGGTACAAAGCTTTTTTGGTATCCTGGTATCCTGGTAAGATGTTCGTATTCAGTCCTGTTCCAGTTACTTAGTCATTCATGTATGTATGTATATGTTATTCATCTCGTTTAAACTAAATATCTTTTTTTCCTTACAACAGTTTCCTTCCATTGCCAACTGGCCTCCGGTTCAAACTGATAGCCTCAGTTGTCAGGCAGGGAAGGCGGATATCGTGCGATTGGCCCCGATTTGGAAACCACCACTTCGTTCCACAAATTTACAGACGTTCTCCATCTACGTACAGACTTGATTCATCGACAAAGGAGCAAACCTGGTCAACTGCGTGGGAATTTTTTGCGCGATATCCAAATGGGATGTTCCAACCCACCAACTACGTTTTCGGTAGTGCTCGGGGCGGACGTGTACCTAATGGCAGAGTATTTTACACCCGACTTTATTTATTCCACTGTTTTTATTTAATTTAATTAATTGATTAAATTTGAAAACATTTTTAAAACTATTTTTTAAAATGATTTATTTTACTTTATTTTTGTTGGGAGTGGGAACAGGGTATTTAATAGTTTAGTCCGCTCAACTCTAGCATTCCTTTCTCGTTTTTTGGAGTCTGAATATGCAAATATTGCACCGGTAACAAAATCCTCTTGAGAACATATTGTGCAGCTCTTAGAGATCAAAGCATATAGCGCAATAGCTTGTTTTCAGGCTTGAGAATTTACCTTTCAAAATAAATTTATTTGATTATATTTACTTTGGGGAGTCTGTCACATCTCCTTTTGTTTACTACATACAATACATTCGCACTTTTACCCTTGGGGTACAGGGACTGTAATCATTGTGTGTTTAAAAAAAAATGACACAATATTGATTATTTTTCAATTTTATTAATCATTATAGATGAGCAAAATAAATAAAACTTATAAAATAATGATTATTCTTTGAGTTTTATTTTTTTGATCAAAAATAAAACAATTAAGGACAACATTTATATATGCATATCTGATTGTGAATGAATAATACGAAAATGTCAATGCGTTTAAATTGTCACTTATGTTTATTATCAGTTTGTGTTAATAGTGGACTGATCGTTCGATCGGATCGGCGGTCATGCTAATACTCACGCGTGAAGCGAAAAGGCGAATGTACGGCGAATGCACGCCTGTGTTAGTGAACATTTTAAGTTTGGCTGTTACATTTAAATATAAGTAGGTAGTGCTGCAAAGCGTTCCTCAACAATGTCCTTAATCAGTGAGTCAAGGCGAATTTTTCACTGATTAATTAATCAATGAATTAAGTTTTTTATTTTCATTCACAAACGCGAATGTATGTTACAGGCGGAAGGAGGCGTGGCAGACTCCTTAAAGTAAATACATATATCCTTGGTTAGGATGTCAAGACGAGTCGACATAGCCCGCCTGTCTGTCCGTTCGTCTGTATGAGCGAAATGATCTTATAAGAGCTATAACAATGATTATTTGTGATCAAAAATAAAACTTAGGCTGTAGTCTTGTCTTTTTCAGAAGGATTAAGGACAAAATTTGTATACCTGTACCTTATACAAATTGTTCAAAATTACACTCAAAAATATTCGTTGTCCCCCCTCCTTCCAAGAATTACGGAATTTATAAACAAAAAACACGAATTGCATGGGAGTGGGGGGTGTATCAGAATAAAAAAAACATACTTGACCTGCCTAGGGCTGCCAGGGGAACCTGGATACCAAGTTTGGTCATTCTAGCTCTTGTACCTTCTGAGATCCTTGCGCTCATACAGGCGGACATAGCTATATCGACTCGGCTTGTCACCCTGATCAAGAATATATGTACTTTGTGGGGTCTGCCACGCCTCCTTTTGCCTGTTACATACATTCGCACAACACTAGTATAGCCTTTCACCCTTTGGGTACAGACAAACAGACAGGGCTAGATTGATTGGTCTTGTCATGCTGATGAAGAATATAAGTATATACATACATACATATATGTATTTGATATATTTGGTCTGCCACGCATATACATTAAATATGTATAATTGCTTATTGAAGGTCATGCATTGTGAACCAACAACAGTACAAGTAACTTCGTATAAAAATTTTTGGTTTTATTCAACTAGTTCATGTGGTTGCATGCCAACGAACGCCTTCTACGCTTACATACATACATATACATATATGCATGTATGTATGTATATCCTCGAATGTTTTTGCATGTCAAGGTATCAAGGACACACTCAACATGTATGTATGTATATGCACGTATGTATGTACATATGTTGGCGCTGTTGTAAATGGAATGAGCACACTGTTTGTTACATACATATGTGTGTAATTAAACTAAAAGGCCAGGCAAAAAAAAAAAAACCGCACACACGCTAAATCTAAATTTGCTTTTTGGACTCTGCTGCTGCCTCCACTGCTACTTTTGCCGTCGTCGTTGCTGTTGTTGGTACGTCATTGCCTCCCTCAGCAGAAGTTGATGATGGAGCAGCATCTTGAGCACCGTCCTCCGTTTTTGGTTTATTGCCACTTGGAACAAATGGGCAAACGCCACCTTTGCATGCAAAGGGAAACTCAGGTCCTGCTTTAACCACATTGCCTTGTGCGTCCTTTTTCTCCCACGGGTTCCAGTACCGTAAAATTATGGGCTGCACAAACTTGTGCCAAATGTAGAGCAAAAGCGGGATGATGAAACAAGGCACGCAAACCATTTTGTCAGTTCTATGTATACTAATAAAAATGCGTATATTGTGTTAACATCCCTATTATACACAGTAAGCAACTCACCTTAAATTTTCGGTTTCGTGTTCCGTGCTCTTGTTTGCTATTTTATTTTCATTGTCAGCTGCTGGCTATCGATGGCGCTGTTCGATGTATCGATAGGACGGTATTTAAATACCGAATATAGTGCGACCAATGCGCGAAAACAGTTGTGCGATACTGAAACTGTTGGACTTTGATTTTGTTTAAGTTTTGTGTTAAATCGAAACAATTCAAAACATTTTTATTAAGGCATTAAAAAGAATTACACAGAAGACAATTGGCGCCTTGAAAATATATAGTACAATGAAAAATGTCTATACGTTTTTACATAGGGTAACTAAAAACCTGAAAACTGGAAAAAAGTTGTCAATTCGGTTTTGAATATATGTATCTACATATGTATGTTGAATATGTACATGTATGTATGTGTATGTATCCCATTACAGGACCTTGAGGTGGTGCAGTTCGTTAGACGTGTGCCACGGTGCATTCCTGGATTACCTTGGCTAGCTTCCAAGTCAAGACACTCAAACATCGATGTAAATAAATTGAATTCCTTAATGTTATTGCTTACGTTGCCAATTGCTTACAAAAATAGCTACTTAAATACAAATTTCATGATGCCTGTATTAATACACATGTACTATATACATATGTATGTGTATACGTATATCTACATGGGTAAGTCGTTTACGAACTATTTTAAAATGAAGTTATGAATACAGATCACAAGCTTCATTTAACTAACACTTGACGCTATGTACTAGTGTCCCTCTGTGGATAATTCTTGGGTTTGGTCGATCACAGCCACAGTGAAGTAATAAAATATGAGTGTGGATATAACAGGAATAGAACGTACATAGATACATACATATACATACTTGTACATATGCCGTTTACTGATTAAAAGTTTTGAAGGTAAAGAAAAACTCTATGCTTTTGGTAGTTTTCTCTTTATTTTCATAGACACTATCAATGTAATGCTACCAATCATCAACCCAGTAAGGGACAGCGATACGGCACACCATCCTTGCAACAGTATTCTCGTCCCGCTTGCAGATTCGTGTTCCACCACTGATTCTGGCAATTCTTGATGAACAAATAGGCACGCTCCTTGTGACAATCGTGTCCTAGTGTGCCGCACACAATATTCGCCGAGTTGGGCAAATGTTGCACAATCTAGAATGGGGCGTCGTTAAATGTGAAGCAACACAAAATACGCATAAATAAAAATATTCGAACACTTACCGCTTCCAGGCATTTGGTCTGACATTGTTTTCTTCCGATTGGATTGCAGGGATACACGCGATCCAGCTCGTTCAATATCAGTGGATTTTCCGGCACACCATTGTGTATTTGCGAGGATAGAAACACGCCGCAGGTGCAGGGCACAGGCTGATTGCTCGGTCGTTTGTCCCCTAGTGGTGTCTGCTGCACCAACGGAAGTGCTGCCATTGCTGGCGTTGGAGGCAAGGGCAAGGTGCTGATCATATTACTAGGCGTTGTACTCAAGAAGTCGGCTGTTGTGGCTGTTATGCTACTATCATCATTACGACTGGTGCTGCCGCTGCTGTTCTCTTCATCGGCAGTGGCCTCAGTGGTTGTGCCACTAGCCTCAGCTGCAGATGCCGCCAATCCCACCGCGGCTGTGCTCACTGCTCTTGGCGTTGTCTTTATGATGAACTCTACTGAACCAGACTCATCCAGCGCTGTAGAGGGCGCCGCCGTGCTTGTGGAACTGCTTATGGAAGTCGATGATGGCAAAGTCGATGATGGCGAAGTCGTTGTCGTCGTCGTCGATGTGGACGTAATACTTTTGGGCAATGGATCCCCTTTAAGCTTATATCGCTTCTCCTTAATATAGTTTGTCTTGCCATAAATGGGCTTCTTATAGGCGATCTTACTGGCCACCAGCTGCTGCCACGCCAAGGCAGCGAGCACAATCAACGCGAATGTGAGACCCCTGTTGGTAACTAAAAGAAGAAACAGTAAAAATAGGGAAAATGAATGTGACTTTGGTCGGGAGGATTGTTTTTCCAAAAGCCGTACACATCTTATTTGCTGTGCTTGCTGCTACGTCGATCTCGTCTCTTGACTGTCTGTGGAGCGGTAGATCTTTAGCGTCGCGTTTTATTCAAAATTTTTGTGATGCGTCTGCAATTTTCTCGCAACTGACCTCCGTTACTGGACTGGGCACCGCCGCGTCGCCAATTTGCGCATCAAGTTCAAGTTCCAGCAAATTTGGGTCAGGGCGCAAGATTATCGGCCTGTTCTCTACTTTTGAACGAGTTGCAACTTTTTCTATGCCATCAAGTACGAGTGCATACCCTTGGCATTAGTTGAGTGTTAAATTCTCACATGATTACCTATTATTCTATGCCACTTTTTCTTTTGTAAGAGTTTGTGTCATGTATTCATATTTCCTATATTCTGCTCATATGATAATTCCATTTCACAGTTCAAGTCCAACCACTTATTCAGCTCAATTATGAATACGAAAAATAACAGTCGAAATGGATCTAGTACGTCGGATTATTGAGCAATGATTTGATGAAATATATACTCGTACATACATGAGATTGAGGCCCAGAATCTACAAAATAGTTGACCTCGTTGAATCTCAAAATGATGGACATATCGATTGGGACAGTGAAGCTATGAAAAAGTGTTAGTATGGAGAGTACCGTGAAGAGAAAGGAGCTTAAAAATAACAGGTATCCACCATGACCCGAAACGCTATTATAAAAAGCCATAAGTTTGTGCAAAGTCTGTAACAGGCAGCAGAAATAATCTCTGACGAAGTATAATTATTCTTGATCAGCATGACGATCTACACATGTCCGTTCGTCTGTCCATCCGTCTTGATAGATTTCTGAATTCCGAAATCGACTGAAAGCATATTGATCAAGCATGGTATTTGGACTCTCCTAGTCCTTAGGCAAGGTTTTTTTTTGGACTTTGACTTGATTCCACAGCAACATACACTAAACTCTTCACACATCATTTTTATTTGATTACCAACCTTTGTTTTACATTTAATTAATTTTTAATTTAATTAAAATTATATTCAAATAGGTACATCTTTCTTAAGAAAAGTTATAAGCGAAACAATTTTAAATCAGTACTGCAGAAGTGTGTTTGCTGTTGTTCTTCTTTATTATTGCTATTTAGGTTAGGTTAGGTCTCCCTCCCACTTAGGCCTATGAAGGCCCATTGTGCTACCATATAATCTCTATCTATATCCATTAATTCAACCACCCTGTGGTTCTTATGAATCTAACCGTGCTAACAAGTTCAATCTTGTTCAGATCGGAAACTATTATTTAAAAACAATTCGTTTTTTTTGTTAAATTCATCAACGAATATGGATGTTCGATATAGATTACAATATAAATATAGATAACAAATAATAATTTCTACTTAAAATATAAGAAATAAATGCACAATAAAGTCTATTAACGCCTCCGACACGTTAAGGGAACTTTATTTGCCATAGGTCTAATGCCAGACCTAACAAATTAAAAAATATGGTAAGAAGATAACTAATAATCAGTCTGTGGAGAAAAATTGCACCAGGAACAGTCCTAGGGATTGTTAATGCTGGAAGATTTAAAAGCAAAAGCCTTCTGGAATACAATGGGAAGCGAAGGTTGGGATCCCAGCTTAAACCAGGTCGTGACAAAGTAGAAATTGCTTTTGGACAGACGCAATACATTCCTGGGGCTTCTTTTACTGCATACACCAAACGTATAAAGAATATATTTACACGGGAGACATACTTGTAAGTAAATAGCAGTTCAACTCATTGGAGCAACGTTTAAAAATCCAAATACACCCATAGCCTGTTATGCGCGCATTTAACCGAGCGGCAAAAATTTGTTTGGTAGGGTATTTCACTGTCGAGCTTGCTCAACGGTAACATACTCTCTTGTTTATTTTATATTAATGGCACAACTCTTAGGGAAGTTGCATGAATAATGCACACGATTTTTATGTACTTCATAGCTGTCTATGGAATCCTATGGAATCCTAAGAAAAACGAACACAACATGTTCTACTATAAATTTAAAATGCAAAGGCCGCATTGTATATTTGTTTAGTCTTCAAATTAAGTGGACAATAATATGGTTTGTACAATTATTAATTTTATTTTTGTAGTGTAATAATATTAGATGAGGTCGTAGCTCCGGGATGAAGGAAAAACTTGCAAAATTCACGTTGATGAGAACTTTTCTTTAATACCGAAAAAAGCATGAAAATGTCTAACTAAAATTTGTTTCAAATATTGATTTCTGCTCAAGATCAGGGTAGTAGCTGTTTCAAATTTTCTTTGCACTAACAGGGAACTCTTATAAAAGTATGTTGAATTTAGAAAAAGTTTCTTTACACATAAAAACACAAGATAGAGTCATTTATTTTATTATAAACAAAACCATTGCATTGGACAAATATTAGAATGAACGAAATTCTGAAATACTCTAAACGTATAGAGAACATGATATTTATTTATTTTATTTGTTGAATGTGACAGGTTAACTTACTTTAACGAAGGACACCAATCGAAACATACTTACTAGTATAATTCAAGATTTTAACAATGTTCTATAACAGAACCGTTTTCAAAAGCAAACGAAGTTCTGACAGCATCTATTTTGGCTTTTGAAAAGTAAAACGTAAAAGTGTGAGAATTGGGGTTAAATGCTGGCAAAATCCATTTGAATTTTGCAAAGGCCGTGCCGATTTCCGCAGTAGACCGTCTCCCCATAGATGGCAACGCCGCGTTCAATTATTTAGCAAATGCTGCAACCAAACTTAAAAGTTGCAGCTGTGTGTAGACGATAACAAAAATACCACAATAAAAAAACACACACTGGGAGGGATGGAAATCATTTAAAACACATTGTTCTACTGAGCTATTTATTTACTTTTAAGACTACACATAATTTCTTATTCATTTCGTAATCTGTGAAGAATGTATTTTCATCGCGGGTGGGAAATACCGCCTCAGTTATCATAAAATACCAACGGCCAGCTGATTCTGCAAACCACAAGTTGCCGGCGTTCTACTTTTCATTTGCGATAGTAAGCACATAAAACATTTCTAATTGTTAGCTATCAGGGATAGTCGTATATGGAGAAGCGTCTTATCGTTAACTGCACATCGTAAATCGTAGAGCGATAAGTCAACAACGGTCCGGAGCCTCACACTTCGAACTACAGGAAGCTGAAAAAACAATAGGACAAATGCCCGAATTTTTTGAGGCGAAAGGCTACGAGCAGACGATGGAGATGCTGAAGAAGCTCGAAGCCAAAAGCCTAGTCTACCTTTACTTTACTGGTGAAAAGGACAAGACGGGGAAGAGTTGGTGTCCAGATTGCGTGGATGGTATGTCAAGGGGTGATAGCACAACGAAACTTACTGCCATTTAGTCCTGTGTCCAAAAAGTAAAAGGGTATACTATTAGTTAAAAAATGTAACACATACAGGAGAAGGCCTTATCATTCTTATCAGTGTGTCGATATAGGGGGCTGTCCGATCGTTTGTCTGGCTGTCTGTATAAGTGCACCGATCTCATGAAGTATACGAACTTGAATAGTTCTTCTAAGGTTGAAAGGGGACAAGCTTGTACTTTTTTTTCTGATTCAATGCACAATTCATGGAACTGTTTACCCAAATTTGGCAATTAGAACCAATATCAAGTAACATGTAATAGGTCTATTGAAAAGGAAGTGATAGCCTTAAATGCATATCTGCCCAAGCCCTGCCAACAGCCGTTGCCATTGATGTTGATTTCATTTAACTCTATACTTGACACATATGTATGTATGTATGTACATATGTACATGCAGACAATTTCCCGATGTAATATATGGTACATGCGCCTCTCCATTTATCCTTTGGGTGCAGGACATAAAAGTGTTATAATAGATAATATGAATCCGTTCATTCTGTTATTGCAGCCGAGCCCACAATTCTGTCTGGCATACGCAAGCACGCCTTATCGGATTCTATTATTTTGGTTGTGGATGTTGGGAACAGAGATGCCTGGAAAGATATGAAAGATAATAAGTTCAGACAGCCCCCTATTAGTATTAATTCTATACCGTCCATGCTACGCTGGAAGGGCGTCGAACGTCTTGACGGAAACCAGTGCGGCAATCCATCACTTGTCGAAATGTTCTTCGAGGAAGCCAAGTCAGATAGCTCTACAAGCATACCCGGACTAGGACGTTAAATGCAGCTCAACGTTTTTTGGCAAGTGCCGATCAATATTTTTATATCCATATTTAAATGTTTAAATAATTTTTTTTGTTTTGTATTTTTATAATATATAAAGTGAGAAATTTTATAATAAAGACTAAATTGTACAATTTGGTTTTAGTTGCTTATCAAAATCACAAACCAACCATGATGCCTGCACCACCACCTCCAAATATTCAGAATACTTGTACGTAGTCGTCACGTAAAGGTACAATGGCCTTAATGGCAAGTAGGTATAATTATTCAAAAAAAAAAAAAAAATAAATAAATAAAATAAAATAAACACTGTAACTTTAGATAAATAATGAAAAGTGAAATTGAACATTCAATTGATCCGAGATCTGTAACTTTTTCAACTGTCGTTGACCGGTAAGGTCCATACATATTACTATTACTTTATAATTATTTAAAATAGTTGTAATAAATATTGAAGTATATTTTAAACTCTGTACATTACTTGACTACCCGACACATAAGTACTAACTGGAAGTAACTTGTACTGCCTACATATAAGGCATCTGTGCGCAAAATTTGGTGTCTCTCTCTTATAGTCTCTGAGATCTAGATGTTTATACGAACGGCGTTCCGAAAAATTCCTAATAAACAAACAAACAACTAAATCCCAAATAAACAAACCTTCTACCGTGAAGTTAGTTATAAGTTTAAAAATCTTTATTTATTCATCAACATCATTTTTATATTCATTCCAGTATTCCCTCTGCATACAATGCACATATTTATGCCAATCCGGAGAACAGTCAGAAAAATCCTTTTCTGATTTGCCCTTTAGTATCTCGTTCGATTCGACTTGAATCTCCTCAGTCGTGGCAAAGCGCCAGAGAAGCCCTCCCAAGTCAGGAGCTAAATTAGGGAAATACGGTGGTTGTTAAACGATATGCGTCTTCTTTTTGCCGAAATGTTCACGAAGAACGAGCGCAGTGGGGAAGTCTTCCCACAAATCAGGCCTCCTGCGACGTATACCTTCATGTAAATGACACATCACACTCAAATAATATTAAATGTGGGGGGTGTATCAGAATAAAAAAACAAACTTGACCTGCCTAGGGCTTAGGGGAACGTGGGGGTCTGCCACGCCTCCTTCTGTGTGTTACATACATTCGCAAAAAACTAGTATGCCCTTTTCCCTTTTGGGTACAGGGTATAAAAAGACGTATGATATTTTATTGTAGTAGACCGGAGCATAGTATTTAATATATCATTCTAACAGATCAAAAACTGATTTGTTTAAAACTGACTTATGCTTAGGTGGTAACTTTTGTTGTCCCGTTAAAAACAGATTTGATGTAAAGAATAGATGATTGATCAAATCTTCATTTGTTGCGACACGACAAATTTTACGTGTTTTGTTTTTTATTTATATCCTTATTTCTCGACTCAGACAATTCCCCAATTGGCGCGAGAGCATTTTCAATAATTGAAAGTCTCTGAATTACAATTTTATTAACGGTAGGTGAAAGGTAGTACCAGGAATATGCAGTTGTAAGTGCTGTGAGTGAGAATGTCTTAAATTTCCCAATATTAATATTATAATATGAACAGAGCGATTGAAATGTTATAGCACATCTATATATATAAAACAGTTTGTCCTGACTGACTGAATGATTGGTGATCAACGCACAGCCCAAACGGCTAGGAAGCTGAAATTTGGACTCAATTATCCTTTCATAGTCTAGGTCCCCACTAAGAAGGGATTTTGGAAAACTCGAGCTCCAAAGGGGGAAAACAGGCTCCAACGTTTGTATGAAAAATCTACAGTTTTCATCTGATTAACTTTAAACTTAGTTTGTATACTCCAATTCCAATTCCAAGAAAAACTGTATACTTGGTTTTTTGATATTTTTTGGGGCCTAAAATATGGGAGTTTTCCTGTAAAAAAAATGTTGGGGCACAAAAGCAAACCGCGTCAACAGCCCACAGCCCAAACGGTAAAAGCTAGGATGCTGAAATTTGGGCTCAAGTATCCTATCACGGTGTAGATGAGCACTAAGATGGGATTTTGGAAAATTCGAGCTCCAAAGGGGGGAAAACGAGCTCCAAAGTTTGTTTGAAAAATCCGCATTTTTCAACCGATCGACTTAAAACTTAGTTTCTAAAATCAATTAAAGGATACAAACAAAACTGCATACTTGGTTTTTTAAATTTTTTGTTGGAGCTTGAATTATTGGGGTTTTCTTGGGGCACAAATTCGGATTTTCGAAATTTGTGTTGGAGCTTGAATTATTGGGGTTTTAATATTTATTCAAATGAAAAGTTTTTGTTATAAATTTAGTCCGATCGATTTAAAATTTGGATAATGTAATCTACGTAACTAAATCTACAACTTTGCATTCAAGGATTTTCAAAATATGCATTTTACAAAAGCAGGCAGAACAAACAATACAAAATATCAAACAGTTGGGGACAACTAAGTATACATATACACACATACAAACAGCTGTTCGTGTAGTTGCGTGCAAACGATTGAAATAGCCAAAGCAACATGTGAGACACTAATGTGTGAATGTCCATACATATGTGCACATCTATGTATGTACATATGTACATATATACATATGTATGTATGTACATTCGTCTTGCACTGACAGAGCAAGAAATGTTAATTAATTGAAAATTATATAACATTTTTAAAAGTAATTTTTTCTTTGTTTAGTGCATTTGGCATTAGGGTTTTCATTAATAACTTTATGCAGCAACAACAAATATCAAATAGTTGGGGACATCACATACACACACTCACACACACAACAAGCAACAGTTCGTGTCTATGTGTGCGGTTCTCTACGTACGGTTGAAAAAGTAACATACATATGTATGTATGCCTGTGTATGAATATAGCATGTATGTACATTCGTATTAATGTATACATTGGGCAATCGAACACAGTTGTTTGATTGTAAAAAAAAATAATGCTCTAAAAACAACAACAACTGCAAGTCATTAGCTCGCTCTTCTTCTTTCGTTTTGACCATTTAATGTTAATTGCAAAGGCAAAACGCCAAAATGTTACAGTTACCGTCGCTAGACAACGACTGCGTAAGCGATAGTAAAGCAGAAACCGAATAACGGAGCTACGCATATTCTGCTTCGCATTGCGGGCAGATGTATGTATGTATATGATTTGTTCTTATTGATCTCAATAAATAATTAGATTTTGTTATTTAAATATTCTGCTTATTGCATTCAAACTTCGATATTTTGATGGTATCGGTGCCAGTGCTTTTTGATCGTGGCTCATCGCTGCACGGCATTGACACGAGTGCCGTGTTTCATATTCCGAGTTTGTGCGTGGCCGTATTGACTCAATATGGCACGAAAAGACTCAAATGTGAATTTAAATTTGGACTCAAGTATCGTTTCATAGTACCCATCATAGTGTAGGAGCACACTAAGAAAGGCTTTTGGAAAATTCTAGCTCCAACGGGGGGAAAACGAGCTTTAAAAAATATTAGTTATAGTGGTCATGTTCGTTTAACGAAATAGTTTGTCAAGAACAAAAATGTAACGGACTACTGAACAATTTTTTGTCAAGAACAGAAAATGTTCATTTAAATACCTTAAATGCCTTCCTACTGGTAACCTTTAAGGTGAAAACATATGGGTAGGTTATGCACACACAAAATAAATACAATTGGAAACATATTGAGCCGGGTTAAGACGGGCAATACCTGCTAGTCTTTCAATAAGATCTCTATCTACAAGTAGGTCTGGCAGTATTTCCACCATTTGATATTCCACTTCCACCACTTTTAGGCTTGAATTTTGTTTTCCTTTCCATAACATTGGCTTTTCCTTCGGGGAATCTAACTTGTCAGACTTGTATATCAAGTTTGTATGATACCTGTAAAAAAATACAAAAAAAATCGGATACAGTGAAAACTCCCTTAATGGACACCTCTTTCATCCGGACAGTCTCTTCGGCGGACACTTTTTATACTCTGTACATAAAATGTACAAAAGTATAGTATATTAGGTTTGCGGGAGCTGAAAATGTAACAGGCAGAAGGAGGCATGGCAGACCCCACAAAGTATATATATTCTTGATCAGCGTGACAAGACGAGTCGATCTATGTCTGTCTGTCCGTCTGTCCGTATGAACACCTGGATCTCAGAGACTATAAGAGATAGGGACACCATAAAGATGCCTTATGTGTACGCTATACGAGTTTGTTTATTTTTTTCGAACTCAAAACTGCAAATTCCCCCAGCTAGCGATTATGTGTCCGTATGCCAAGTTTCACTATGATAGACCGATGATTTAACAAGAAGTTATAGCCATAAATATATTTGCTGCCCAAGCGCTGCACGCGGCTGTTGTTGATGCTGGTGCTTTGGTTGACTGCAAACATGTTTACACATACACGAATAGACGCGCATAGACATTCATACACTCACATAGACGCAATTGCTTTGTATATGTGCAATTATACCGAGATCGAATACCGAGAGAAGTAAAATAGATCCAAATTTTTTTTGTAATTTTCTTAATTTTTTTTATTTTCTATAATTATTTTAAACATATGTACAGAATATTTCAAAGTCGGGACACCCGACTTTAGCGTTTTTACTTGTTCTAAAACATTCGATGTATAAAGTATTTAAGTATCCCCTTTCCCTTGGGCGGACAAAAATTGGCCGACCGTGAGTGTTTGGCCAAGATAGTTTTCACTCTATATGTATAGTATGAAGGGGTGGCAATCCGAATTCAAATCGATCTTTTATAACTTTCCTTTCCAAACATTTCTTAATATTGTTCATTTCTGTGGGTTTCGCGTTGCATATAGCATAGCACTTTGATGATGAAGATTTGGTTAAGACATTGCAAACTTTACCATCCACCAACACAACACAATAAAATGCATGAAAGAAACAAAGCCGATAATCACAACACACAGCACAAAAAAGTACAGTCACACAAACAAGACAAGCTACCAAAAACTGGGAGGCCGCTTTGTTGTGTTGAAGATACCGCAGCGTTTGGCAGATTCTGGCAGCTGAAATTTACATCATATAATCTATAAACATTGACAAATATTATAAATTAAATTTGGTTGTTAGTTTCGATTAAATTCGCAACTAAAAGCCTAAG